CGTAATTTATAACTAGATTGCGGATCTTTATACAAAATACAAACTTTCTGTCAAGTGTAAAAATGAAAAGTTAAATAAAAATTAATTTTATATTTTAATCATTTTAATTGCTTAATGAAAAATAATCGGCACAACATGTATATGTATATATGTTTGAATGCTAATCATATAAATGAATATGCCAAATGTTCTTAATGGTTAAATTGTCTGTCTATATTTTTATATATTATATTACATAAAACATTATTTATAAAACTCTATATTCTTGCTAAAAATTTTATCAACCTTCCCTCAATGAATGTTTTTTATATATTTTCTTCGCTTATTGTTAGTTTTCAAATATCTCCATTAATTGTTAGCGTTATTCCAAGGATTCTTATTTACTGCTCCTTACTTCGAGTTTTTTGCTGAACACTTTCTGTGTCATTAGTTAGTAAATTAGTAGATTCTTCTTTCATTTCGGTGTCCGTTTTTAATTTCTTTAAATCTGAGGATGACAAGCGTGACTTTCTTTCTGGTTTGAGCGGTGTCGTGTTCTCAGTCTCGATTTCTTCCGTCTTAACATTTTCTTTATGAGATCTTATACAGCAACCATTGTACTTAACGATACGTTCCAATGCCATATCTGCCTCTGTGATTTTACCCTTCGCGAGTAACCATCTTGGTGACTCCGGTACGATCCTGAAAAATAATAATGTATAATTGTGATTATCATAACTTGATATCAACTTGATATAAATTGATATCAACAGGATAACTCGTGTTTGTGCGCAACAAATTAAAAAATCTGAAAAAATTCTCTAGTCACTAGTTTGATATTATCTTATTACTGAAAAGGTTTGATCAGGATGCCGAAACTACTTTTATAAGAAATCTGCATTTTTTGGGACTAAGATTGTTTACTTTATTTTTTACAACTAGGATTATCAATTTAAAAATCTGAAAAAATTCTCAAAAATGCACACTAACACATGTCAGATTTTGGTCAGAATTTTTGCATGCATTTAAATAGAAAAAATCGATCGAAAACTGTTAAACCGATGTCCTATAATTACGTCTCTGGTCACGATAGGGGGTTAAAAATTTAACCGAAGTGCTTTCTAGTTATGCTCTATCGAATAACACATCAACCATCTAAATCGGCTCAAGGATACCGTTTAGTCTCGTCGCTTCTAGTACTCGGTAAGTTTAATGTTAACAAACAAAAGAATTATGAATATAAACTTACAGTTTTAGATTTTAGAAGAGACTTTCATATATCCGAACATAGGTTAAAAGTATTTTAAAAAATATACATTACACTAATTACCAAATATAGAGTACGGTAACTGCAGTGGGAACTGAAATTGCGAGCTGCAGAATTCTCCAGTCTGGTATGACATAACTTAATGCAGCCAAAAGTAGTAGACCGATGGCCCACGCAATTTGCATAACTAATGCAACGAATGTGCGAGCTTTTGCAGGGAACAATTCCAACGAAAGAATATATGTAGAATTTTGTAAACCCTGGACAAAAACTCCTTGTAGTCCACGAAGAGCCAAGAACGTGGGGTAATGCTAGAACAAATAGTTCATTTTAAATAATAATTGAATGGTCATACTAAGGAGAATCTTATAATAATGTATCTAAACTGTACACCACAAACTGTCCGTAATTAAAAAACACTTTTAAATCATATAAACTTTATGAAATTCGAAATGTTTCCTTTTTTTATGAATGCACAATAGCTTCTATTTCGAGGGGTTCGAAAGACGTAAATTTTCTCTCTATTATAATCACATGATAGCAAGTTCAATTATTTACTTACAGTTTTGGAATGACACGAATAAATTATATTAAATTATAGTAACAAGTTATACAGTATACATAAATTACATACATGTGTATTTGAAACTAAATAAATGAATATTTTTTACAATAAATTACAAAAAATGTGATCGCTTTTGACCGGTTAGATTGAAAAAAAAACGTGATCGTTGAGGGGTTTAAAATCAAAATACAACCCCTTGCAAAAAGTATTCGAACACCTTTTAAAACACAATGACTTTTTTAAAACTGATCTAAACGACTTGAATTTTTTTTTAATGTCATGGGGGTAGTTTGCTGTACAATGTCTAGAATACTTTTTGAATAATTTTATAACGTGATCTACTAATTTAACGTGTCATTTAATTTTACAATTATTTGAACTTTGTACAGTTTCCGATATTCTTAATGAAAAAAATAATAAAGCTATTGCGTAAAATTATTGCGTACCTGCACGACATATAGCGCAACAGCCATGGTCCCTTGAGTGTAAAGGCAAATAGCTTGTACAGGAAGCCTTCCGATACGATCACCCAATATGCCTGCGATCCAGGCGCCTATTAGAACTCCTACATAATAAATTGTAGGCCCAAGGAAAGTTAAATATCTTTTTTCACAAATCAAACCCCACTCTGTCACTACACTGTTCTCGCCGAACTCCGTAGCGAATTGATAATCACCAAAACAGAGGTCTTTATAGACGGAATCATCTTCGAGACTGGAAGTCTCGTTGTTTGCAACAGTTACGTTGCGCAAATCCTGGCATCCGTACGCTCGTCTCGTTTCATTTCTAATCTAAAATAAACAAATAAACACACTAGTTTTCAATTATTTTCAGACGATTTATTTGATTAATAGAATCATAAAGTATATAAAAATTTTTTTATCCGATTCATAAAAACATGAAGTTTTTAAAAATTTCACTTCTTAAGTATTCTTCGCACGTTTCATTTTCTTAACACTTTATTTATCGAAAGCCTATTTCAACAGGATTTTCAGTGATTGAGCTGTATGTAAAACAAGCTTAATTATCCTCTTTTGAATAATAATCTCAAAAGCAATTAATACATAATATTAATACAAATAATTTGTTGAATGACGGACAAAATTGTTATCGCCTATGAAAATTTTTTTAAGGAATTCTCAACTGTTGGTTTTCAATTTTTAGATGAGTATTAGAAAACTCTGCCGGCACATAAAGTGTTATTAATTCATGGGGGTGCATACAATTACTATATGTTTTAAATAAAATTTATATAAAATACTACAGGAATGATTCATTTGCTGTGATTAATATTTAAAAATGTATGGATAATATATAAATGCACGTACGAGAGAGTATCTAACGCGGAAATGGAAGTAATGTTCGTATATTAATATTATTTGTCTATAGATAGTAATTGTAAAATAAAATAAAAATTATTATTATTATTAGTAGCAGTAGTAGCATTAATATTGTTATTACTTACTATATTGGGGTGATAACCCCAAAAAGCACCATAAAAGGATAGTAAAATGAAAAGACAGTGGAAAATATATAAAAAGAGAAGGAAAACAGAAAAAGCACATAAAAAATACTTAAAAATTAACACGAAGACAGTTTGGAAATTAGTATAATAACGTCCTAGTCTGGGCAGTTACAATACTCAACTAAGAAACCTTACCTGACAATAAAATTTCGGCGTGTAATTATGAAAGACCGGTAATGCATGGCTCATAGCGACGATAACATAATTAACAGCCAAGAGTATTGCGATGACCACTTGGAAACAACCAACTTTGACTTCTTCTGCATTCATGTTTCACAATATCAAAGTTGCACTTATTTTTCTGATGAATTTGCGTTGCGGAACAATTATCACCAAAACAGTTCACAATCGAGGGCCGAAAAACCATCCGAGAGGGCACATTTAAAACGGAAACTTTTTAATCACTCACATTAATCCGTTTATGTAGATATTTAGTGTGTATGTGTCAAATCACACTATATGTATGTAAAATTTAAATATTATCAATTACAAAAAATAAGGTTAATTCGACACCGTTGTTTGCGTATTAACGGACGTTTGTTTGATGCATTTCACCTAAACGCGTCAGGGTCCAGTGTAAATTCACCACCGTAAGTAAAAGTTGTCGCAGAGCCCGGATAAAGTGTCATCGGTGAGGGTGAGGCGCATACTAACAGAGAGCAAAAGTCTTCTGTCTGTCGAAGGATAGCTATTGTAAAGAGGAACCGATTCCTCGCGGCGCTGGAACCAACAAGGACGGACCCTGCGCTGGTACTATTGTTTTACGGTCGGTGACACGTATCCCATTAATGCACCCACGTCACGAGAGAACGATCTTCTGTCAATTATAATCAATTTTTAAAAGGACGGATTTAAACAAATTTTGTACTGGCTATGCTGACCGGCCCTTACATGCATACTCAAATATTTACTTGTGTTACAGACATCCTTTTATTTTACCTGTATTACATTTCGGTCTTTTTCTTTATTTTTTGGTCTATGTATATAAAGGATGCAATAATAATACTCGCGTTTCTAAGCGATTCTAAATGGGACAATGAACATGTGGCTATTGACACATGTACAAATAGAAATTAAATATTATAGCCAGATAAGATGGTCAAATGTATCACCATAATAAATGATTTTTGTTTAGGTTTAGATCATTCAATAGGTCACTTATAAAAATAAACCATCTCAGCCTTTCAAGTCGATGCCCTCACACAGGGGTACTTAAAGGGTGAAATCCGATTAACAGATTCAGTTCTATTTCTTCTGTTCTGCTTAACGGGAAATTATGAACAAATTTGTGAGTATTCTCCCTGATGGGACACTATACTCTGAATTTTTCTCAGAATTTTTAGTTGCAAAAACAAATGTTTTAAAAAATTTGAGAACTTATATTTATATTTTTATGGTAATAGTCGTCGCTATGTTTTATATTAATTTTTACAATAACATATTGTTGTAAACATTATCTTCGATTTTGTTTCAGATTTTTTTGAAATTGCGATCATAATTATAAAAGTTGGAAATCGAATTTTTGAATGTTTTTTTTACATTTTTGCAGACATATAATCAGATGAACAATGTAAAAACTTAAGAAGTCAATTCAAAATGATTGGATAGTTATATGTAAATATGTATTAAGCAGTCCTAGTTGGCAGATTTTATATTTTCTTAATTATATGTATAATTGTTACAGCGATATTTAAAAAATTTGTGTACAATATTTGATAAATACTTCAAGCAGAAATATACTTAGAAGATTGCAATAAAATTGCATAGAAACATTAATTTGGAGTGTGCATTATCCCAATGGTTCTCTTTGACAATGTATGATTTTCTTTACGGCTACGATGCAACATTTATAATGATATTTTGATTAAGTAATTTTGCCGAATATGAAATTCGTTGGGATGTTTGATACATTCGAGAGCAGTCTTTTGCTTAAAATATTCCCAAAATATCATAAAATAATTTTTTAAATGACGTTGCAACAATTATATTGTTAAAAAAAAATAAAATTTGTGATTATACAGTATAGTTCATTGACGTACTTATGTACATATCTTTAAATGGCATTAAGCAGCTTGAATGAGAGCTTCACTAGGGTGTATGAACTGACAACGCACATTTACTTCGTTTTCCACCCATATTCGTCGTAGCAGAAAGTTCTATTGACAGGTATTGATCGTCTCGTTTTACTGGATCTTTCGTTATGATGAAAATTTCTGTTTAAACTGTTATGACTATAATGCATCATTTAAGGATTGAAATTTATAAATCAGTACTGGTAAAGTATTAAAATATAACTGTTAAATAAATTGTAAATTTACATAGAAGTTTCAAGTCTACTGTTGAATATTGTTTATCGGTCATAGAGCAGCATTCAACAGATTTTTCAGAACTTATTGTTAGTTATTATATTAGACTGCGAATTTGTATGCAAAATAGAAATTGTCCGCAGTAATAGTAAGATACAGAATTTATAATAAACATTTCTTTCTGCAATCATTTTATCAAATTGAGACTAATGCAAGAGTACTTCGAATAAATGTTTTTTCTGCTTTGGGCCGACTCATTTTTGTCATAAATGCAACAGATCTGCGGTTAATTCCTTATACACTGTACGAAGTAGAAGTGCTCTTAATGGCAAAGGGGAATAGTTACCGTGACATTGACATTACAAATGTCTTACAGAAACTGTCGTCGAGCCGTAAAAGCTTTCGTCCATGACGTATTCACACCATACCATACTTAGGTCACGATAATCTTGATGGAGGGGTACCGATCATCGTAGTTCAACGACGGTGTTTCCTTCGTTTCTGGAACTGTTTCTGTATGCGGCAAACATCACGTCCGGTCCCGGGCGCATCCTGCCTTTTATTAGAACCACCTCGAGTTTGCTTGATCGCCGATTCCAAAGGAAATCTTTGTGCTTGATGAATCCCTCGCCTGTCCTTCGGCGGCGCAAGTCGACACGACGTCATTAGCATCGGCTTTTGTAGCGTGTGATCATTCGGCGGACTGTATAAGAATGCTCCTGAACGATTTTCATTCCGTTTCAACTGCCGAAATAACGGCTACTCGGTTTATTTCCTCTATTTCGATCGAATAAGTCGAACCGCGTTCGCGTTCCGTTTAGTTAATTCCCGGTCCATTGTAACTGTTATTTGTAACTAGAAATTTAGAACATTTTTTAAATAAATGTTATCTTTGGTCCCTTGTTAATATAAATACGATTTATAGTGAAGGAATATGGTGCATAATATAGTGAATTAAAAAGTTTGAACTATTTCATATACCCGAATTTTTCAAGAGAGCGAGAAGGGTTTTATTATTATTATATCATATTATAAATTCTTCAAATCAGTTTATAGATTTAAAGTAAAGGAGGATGTTTCGCGTATCTGTTTCGTTTAAATTCGTCTTCAGAATACTGTTAATAAATTACGAGTTCGTTCCAATGAAGATCTGGGGCATTACCAGTAGTATCTCTTGGATAGTGACGAATCCATCGCATGGAGTGTTTCGCTTTGTTATTAGAAAATCATGAGTAATTTTTGAGTGATCTTTTCGAGTACAGGTAATAGCTACTTATTCGTTTTTTGATAATGGGGCTTCGTGGACTGAGATTTCTTGGACACTAGATTTTGCATTTGAAACTTGCGTGGAGTTGCATTGGCCCAATTGGCGTTCCATAAGTAGACTTTTTAATAAAGGTTTTCGCACCCAGTAAACTGATTTTGGAATTGTTATCGTACGATATAAGACTGCAAGGCTTCTCTTTTGCAGCTTTATCGGCAGTTGCCGTGTGGAAATTATCGAGGAAAGGAAACGAAAGGGGAATTTCGTCCCCGGTCTGCTAGAGGGCTCCTCAGTAAGACTGACTGCCTTGTTTTACCAATAGCTGTTAAGATCTGTTGTTAGTTAAATAATAGTAGCCACCCTTTGCTGGTAAGCATATCTTCAAAGACTGATGTAAAGTTCCTCATCCAGTGACGTGTGATGTACATTCAGTACTGTTGTAATCAACGAAAGATTCTTTATAATTTTAACAATTTAACAATAATTTTAATAAATTG